TTTCTAAACCAATTATTGCTGAAAGTGAGAATGGAAAATGTCATTGAATATTAAACTCATACTTGGCTACTAATGCACATTTTCAAAGAAGGGCTTTAATAAGGCTTGCATATATTATAGTGCATGTATGATATTGGCTCTTCAGCTGTATTGAACATACCAGGTTTATATTGCTCTATGTTCCTAGGATTTAGGATTTACTTGTTTGCCTTACTGTTACAAGTACTATACTATGAAACTGCCTGTGCCAAACAACATTTGACCTGAATGAGCTTTTCACAGGGCTGCAGACATGATAGTGAAAGCTTAGTGGTATTTGTTTAGATGGTGGTTGCTCAAGATCCGGAATGTTTATCATTGTTTGTAGATTATCTTTGAAATGAAAATGTGTACGTAATTCTTAAACTGCTCCTCTTCCTTCCCTGGTATTTGTGACCTCTTGTGTGTGGGAAACACTGTTTTAGCAAATATTTTTATTACCACTACCTAGGCATCCAGAATTCAGATATGAAAAACAAAACAGCTACACATGGCCCTTCCAAAAGCAGTGGCAGACACTAACTACAAAATATAAGTAGATTTGCAGGTGTTCTCAAGGTATGCAGATGTATATGGGAACATATTGAAAAGGACCCCCATTATCAGAAGGGAAGGAGTTCAGATCACATATGGAAAAGATCTTTGTTTGAACGGGATCTTGACAGATGAGAGGCAGAGGAGAAGATGGGCTTAAACTAGGCAGAGAAAAGATATGTGTGAAAACCAAGGTCATCATAAGTTGTAAAGTGTTTTTGCTCTAGTAAGCTTTAAATATTAGACCAAGTGTTAATTTAGCCCCATCTCATCTACCCTTGGGCAGCCATTGATGGTCCTAGAACTGGAGACATATTTGTGGTAGTTGGTTTTAGATAATGGCAGTTACCACATTATATTCTAATGTTGTCCATAAGTAGTCATTGGATCTCTTGAAGGGCTGTGACTGTTATTAATTTCATATACTAGGCTTTTGGTACAATAACTAATAAAGGCAATAGCTCTTGAGGAAGGATATCCATGAGAGCAGGCTTAACAGCATCCTGAAGTAGTAGCTTTTTGTGTTCTACCTGAAAATGCAAATATGTTCAAAATTTGGCCTCTACTTTCATGAGATTTATGTACTCCATGAATTACTAGCCCAGAATCCCTCCTTTGGAAATGATACCCAAAGAGGGGACTGGAGAGATGGCTCAGTGGTTATGAGCACTTGCCAGAGGACTGGAGTTCCAATCCCAGGACCCATATCGAGTTGCACACAAATGGTTGTAACTCCATCTCCAAAGGATCTGATGTGTTTTCTGGCTGCAGATACTCACATCCACATATCAATTAAAACAAAATATTAAATGATACCCAAGGAACTAAAACTTTTTGCCAAACATCAACACAAGTAATTGTCTCTTTTTAATAGTCTCTATGTAGATTATAGCTGTATCCCTTTACTTTTCTTGAATTCACTGTACTTGGGAAGAGTTAAGTCAAATTGACTGAACTCTGTAAAGAAGGAAACTATTCTTTTGAAATTGTGTGTGTGGGGGGGGATGCATGTGTGTGGGGAGGTCAGAAGCAAATTTTTTGGAGTCAGTACTTTCCTACATTTTATCTGGGGATTTGAGGAATTGAACCCAAGTTAGCAGGTTGTGTGGCAGGCACCTTTACCTGCTGAGCCAACTCACTGGCTTTGAAGATATTTTTATTATTTTTATTTTATGTGTATGAATGCATTATTTGCATATATGTAAGTGCACTGGTCAAAAGAGGGTGTTGGATCTCCTGGAACTGGAGTTAAGACAGTTGTTAGCTGCCATGTGAGTGCTGGGAATTGAACCTGGGTTCTCTGCAAGACCATCCACTGCTCTTAACCACTGACCCATCTCTCTAGCCCTTTGAAGATATTTTTATAGTGGTTAAAATACAACTTCACCAGTTTGTACAGAATGATAGACAAGTGTGCTAATTGCACCAGCAACCATGAAGTAGCTGCCTGAGGAGAACCTGACATTCCCTAGTTTGAGTTTAGCTACCAAGTCAGTTCAGAGTCCTCCAGACACACACCCTTGGATATGAGAAGGACTCACAGAGAGGCAGGATAGAAAGGCAAAATTAAGGGGACCTGGGAAGGGAAAGAAATTAGAAACACAGCTGATAAAATTGGTGTTGCTACAGAGATTGTACTTGTATTCTCAAAGTCATCTCAAACAAGGATGCTCAAAACAACAAACTCTTGCTTACTTAGAGCTAGAATGTTTGTTGCTGCATCCCTAAACCTAAACAGTGCGTCTCATAAAACCACCTTACAGTTTCACTTACAGGAAGAAATTCTCAGCCTGACCTGTGGTCATCAGGGGATGATTCATGGTGTAGGCCTATAAGCCCAGCTATTCTGGAGGCTGAGGTAGGAGAATAGCAAACGAGGCCTGTCTGAGTGAATTCAATGCCAGCCTAAGTAACTTAGTGAGATTGTGTCTCAAAATTAAAAAGTACAAAGACTTGGGGATATATCTCAACCCAGTGATAGTATGCTTGGTTGTCATAAAGAAGTCCCAGGGTTCAATCTCCAGCTTAAAAAATAAAAAAGGAAGATCCCCTAAGTTATAAACTAGCTTGTATAATTTTACTTGATCATTTTTAAACTTAAATTTTAAGCTTTGGTTAATCTTAAACCTTATAAATTACATCCTTTGAACACTGTAACTTAGAAAGCCATTATAGAGACCCAGGTGTGACTCTCTCTTAAGCCCACATTCATAATTTTGGGAATGTGTACTGTTCTTTCCTATATGTCTCTCTGCCTAAATAGTAAACTCCCTAACTTTACTTCATTCTGACTTGCCCTGAAAGTCTTTTCTGCTTTACCTAAGTGGAGGTTCCTAAGTCTGTTGGTGGCAGGGCTAGGCTGTTTCTCCCTGCTGCCACTAACACAAGACTTGGAAAAGCTGTTAACAGTTACAGCTGACTTACTATACTGAAAAAATTTAGCTTAAATTCAGCAAAGGGGAAAAGTACCTGGGATACAGTTTGAGAGAGAAAAGGTGCTCCAGTAGAGTGGGGCAGTTGGCCTTTATTCTCTTAACAGCGATAAGTGACAGCATGTGCAAAGTACTGCCAACCAGTGAAGCTCACTTAAGCCTTGGTTGGTGTCCAGGGTTTTTACTGAACATCAGTCATCAGCCATCATTTTATTTAGACTTTTCATTGCTATGACAAAATATCTGACAGAAACATATTAATTGTCCTTAATTCTTTAGAAAGGATTTATTTTGCTCACTGTTTTAGAGATTTCAGTCCATCAGATTGTGAAAGGTATGATAGAGCATCTTCCATGGGGTTGGGGGGGGGATGGGACAGACAGACTCTGAGACTTTCTCCTTTTTCCCATTTTATTCCATCTAGGTTTCTCAGCTTATGGGATGGTACCACCTACATTCATGTCCTACTTTAATCCTCTTGAAAGTGCCCTCAGGTATACCCAGAGGTGCTCTGCATTTCCTAGGTACTTCTCAACCCAATCAAGATGATCTAGATTAACTGTTAACAGTTGTTTAGGCTTGTAGTCTGCATAATTGACTTCTGCCCTCACCACCACAGCAAAAATATTTAATTATATTGTTAGCATAAACTATCTGGTCAAATTGGTATTGTATGACTCAAAAACATAGGCATACAGAAACATTCTTATCAGAGAGCATATTCCAGAGGCTCAGAGTTCACATCCCAGGAGATTGTCAAGGACAGTCCTGAAGACAAGCTGTTCTTGAGAATATGCTGGATTATATAACCAGACCTGCTAAGTAAACTTCCCTGTGTAGTACATTGACAATCTGGAAGTTAGCTTTCTTCTGGCCTACTGTCTGCCTAGCCATTCCCTTTTATAGATACAGTGAACCTCTCTGGGCTCAACATAGCTTGCCATTACACCTAACTGGACCTTTCCCTTGCCAATGAATAGTTGGAGAATTTGTCTACCTTGTAGCTTTGTGATCTCACCGTGAAATGTTAGAGCACATTCTGTTATTCAACAAGCAGTTTTTGAGTGTTGCTACTATCGGGCATAGGGGTATTTGGAGATTTTACAGAATGAATGTGGGCCTGTGGCTTCAAAGAACTTAACATTTTCCTAGGGAAGGGAATAACAAAAATATTGTTTCTGGCAAGCACCTCATCAGAGAGTGGCCATGTATGTGGGAAGATGTTGGTGATAGCAGAACACTTCATAAAGAGGGCATTCCTAGAGTTGAACATTAAAGATCAAATGGATAAAAGTGGGCAGAGAGCTAGCTTTCCTCCAGTTATTTGTGTGGCTAGGTTGCCTGTGTGGTTGGTGTGTGTGTGTGTGTGTGTGTGTGTGTGTGTGTGTGTATTGTTATGTACAGAAATTGTTACTATGTATAGTACTGAGTGAGCCTCCATACTATCTAAAAGATTTATGTCTTAGGGTTTGCACAAAGGTGACTAGAAAGTGTCTGGCTCAGTTTGAATCTTTCTCCATTACTCCATTACCATAAATCTACTAAAATGGCATTTCAGCCTATAGTGAGTTTGTGGTAGTATTTTTCACAAATTGCTCCCCAACCGTGTGTGTTTGTGTGTGTGTGTGTGCGAGACAAAGAGAGACGGAAAAAGATTGTGTAATTTAGGACTAGGAACAAGTATAACCATTAAAATTTAAATATGCATTGTTTCAAATGGGAGGGAAAATGCTTGCCTTATCTAGATGAAATTTCATGTAATTTTTTTTGTTCTTGAAAGTAATATTTTTAGGAAAAAGCCTTGGTCTAAATTTTACTGTTACCTTGGTCTTCTTGCACGCTTCTAAGACTAACAAAGAGGCTTGTTTATTGAACAGTGCATGGAAATTGTTTGATGATAGGATCAAGAATGTATTTAGTAGAGTAAATGTTGAAGTATTTTTTACTTAACATTGAGAATTTTTCCTAATAGAATCTTGTTCTCTTTTCTTCCAGCATTACAGTGTTTCTGCCACCTCTGTACAAAAGATAATTTTACCTGTGAGACAGATGGGCTGTGCTTTGTCTCTGTCACTGAGACTACAGACAAAATTATACACAATAGTATGTGTATAGCTGAAATCGACCTAATTCCTCGGGACAGGCCATTTGTTTGTGCACCTTCTTCAAAAACGGGGGCTGTTACTACAACGTATTGCTGCAATCAGGACCACTGCAATAAAATAGAACTCCCAACTACTGGTAAGTTGTATTAACAGCCCTCTGCCCTTCCCTCCCCCAGGGTACAAAAAGAAAAGTTTTTAAGACTGTCAGCAAATTTAGAACTGAAAGTGCTTGCAGAAATTATTAAACCCAACTCACTGAAGGTAGAGGCAGAAAGTGACCTGTCTATAGTTGTAGAATTTTGAGTAGCCTGACTTCTGGGTATGTGTTGTTAGAGAAGGTAGTGCCAGGAGACTCTTGGTGAGATCATTTATGCCTGCAAGGGCAGCCTCTTCAAAGTGAATTCTAGAATCCCATAGGTTTTCCCTGGATTGTCCTCAGTGCATTTTTCTCCCTTGTGTGATGCACCTACTTTTTTGTGTGGTTTTTTTTTTTTTTTTTATTTGTTTTAATTTTATTTTATGTGTTTGAGTATATGGCCTACATATATGTAAGTGTGCCCATGTTGTGCAATGCCTTTGGAGGCCAGAAGAGGATGTCGGAGCTTCTGGAACTGTAGCTATGGACGGTTGTTAGCTGCCATTTGGGTGCTGAGAATCAAACCCAGCAAGAGCAGCCAGTACTCTTTACCCCTAAGCCAACTCTCCAGCCCCTATTTGTTGTTTTTTTTAAATTTTTACAAAAATTTTATTGAGAATTTCATACATGCATATAAGGTGTTTTGATCAAATCCATGCCCACTCCCTCCCTTCCAACATTCTCCTCTCTGAAGAGGTAACCCTAAAATCTTTTAAGGATTAGTCAGAGCTCCCCAATACTTTTGATATTTGTAATCTTTGAAACAGAAAAAAAAATATGTTGCTAACAGGCCCAAGGACATTTTGACTTTTAGCCAAGAAACTGGCTATATTTCTTTGGGGTCTTTTTACCCTAACTGCCTAGCCAATTCCTACCTCCTATTCTTATCACACCATCCTCTGAAGGGGTAACCCAAATTGCCAATACGGAATAGGGACGCAGACTGCTCTGGCTTCTTCCATGCTGAACAGGAACGCAGGGTGAGGCAATTGGAGTACCCCTTAAGTGGGTCTATCTAAAAGACTCCCAAATTGTATAACTTTATATGTTTTTCCCTTGCTGAAAGCATGTAATAGACTTGGAATAGGAAGATAAGACAAGAGTGCTTTTAAAACATGACTTTGTTGGGAGTTGTTTCAGATTTTTGGTTCTTTAACTAGTTGACCTGAAGTGACAAATGAGGGAGGTTGTGGATGCTTGTATTTGGCCTTGTGAGTGAGGTGATGGGGTTGGGAACAAGGAATGCACAGGAAGAGTAAGGGTGCTGACAGAGCTGATGATTGTAAAAGAGAGGCCAGAGAGAGAAAACCACATGGTGCCCTTGTTCTGGCCCTGAGCCCTATATGATGCTGTAATGAGGCTCTGTGGCTAAGTGGTAGCAGTGGGCATTTGGAAAACTAGGAAAATACAGAGGGTTGGAGAAACGTGGACAGTTGGGAAAATGTGGGTGCCACCTACAATATTTTTGTTGTTGTTGATGATGTTTATTTCATTTGAGGACCTTTTTCAGAGAAGCAGTCACCCGGCCTTGGTCCTGTGGAGCTGGCAGCTGTAATTGCTGGTCCAGTTTGCTTCGTCTGCATTGCACTCATGCTGATGGTCTATATCTGCCATAACCGCACTGTCATTCACCATCGAGTGCCAAATGAAGAGGATCCATCGCTAGATCGTCCCTTCATTTCAGAGGGTACTACATTAAAAGACTTAATTTATGATATGACAACATCAGGATCTGGATCAGGTAATGTAATTAATTGTTTACCTTTTACCTAAGAAATCTTTTTAAAAAAATATTTTTATTAAGTTTTTGTGAGTTTCATATGATAGACCTTAATCAAATTTAGACCTCCTCCCCATTGGATTTTGTGCATTCTCTCAAGCATTTGTACCCAGATGTCCTTTGGTGCAAGTTCATCCTCTGGAGTCTAGTCAACCTTTCTACAGTCTCTCCCTTAAAGATCTACTCTCCCTCACCCAGCAGTAATCATTTGCCAATAGTTCTCACGCTAGGGTTGGTGCCTGCTGCCATTTCCCTTAGTCTGTGCTGGGTTTTTATCTGATTGAGTCAGCATGGGTCTTTTGCATATTGCCACCATTGTTACAGTTTCATATGAGTATGTTCCCAGTGGCCTGAAAGCCTTTGTTTCCTTATGTTCATGAACCAACCCTGGTTCTTACAAACTTTCTACCCCCGCGCCCCCAATGTTTCTCTGAGCCATGGGTAGGTGAGGTTTATCATAGGAGTCCTATCCAGGGACACATTCTGTAGTCTTTTATTCTCTAAAACTTTTTTGAGGCTATTATGAATTTTTTTTTTTTTTTTTTTTTTTTTTCCTGTTTTGCTTGTTATTAGTATATAGAAAGGCTACTGATTTTTGTGCCAGGGATCAAGATACAGTGGGCAGGTCTGGACTAAGAGGGGAGTCCAGAGATCTGAGGCGGGAGAGCAGGAGCGGGCCTGGGCTGAAGCCTAGAAGGGGGTCAGAGTGCTGGGGAAAGAGTGGAAGTGCTCAGGTTGCGGGGGAATCAACTTAGTGGGCAGAATCTGACTTACCAGGGTAGAAGGCAGGTGGGTCTGTTTCAGGCAGATTAGGAGGCCAGGGGCAAGGTGGGGCTGGGGACAACTTGTGGAGGATCTAACAAACTATGTTAGAGGATTAAGCTAGTCTGGGATAGGAAGCTAGTACAGAGATTTGAGGCAGAAGAGCAGCCTAAGATCTTGTCAGTTTATTTGATTAGTTAGCTAAGACATTTGACTTAGTTTTGTTAAAACTTGGAATAATGTGAATGGTATTCCAGACTGAAGCCTGATGAAGGTTGTTAAGCTTGGTCTCTGTCTGATTGTGGCTATTTTAGTATAGTTAAATTGATTGGAGCTTACTTTTAGGTTGAAATAAGTAAGTCACTTTTTCAGAGTATTTCAGAGTATTCTTCCCTCTATAATGTTATTTGCTTTTCATGAGTGGTAGAAAGGAGAGGGATGACCATTCTTACAAAGGTAGGACTACAGTTCCAAAGATGTTCAGACTGCAGCTACCCATTCTGGGCAGGACAGTTAGTTAGCAGCTTTATTTCTGTGTGTGGCTGTGCATATGTGGAAGTCAGAGGACAACTTGGAGGAGTTGGTTCTCTCACCATATGAGTCCTGGGGTTCAAACTCAGTCTGACTTGATGGCAAATGCATTTTTACCTGATGAGCCCTATCTTGCCAGCCCAGTTTTTTTTTTTTTTTTAAGTTGATGAAGTCAGTCATTTTCTTTTCTTAAAAACAAAACAAAACAAAAACACCAAAAATTCAAAGCGAAAAACCAAGAAGAGCAGCCCTGTTACTAAATGTTGGGTACGTGGCTCTTGCAATGTTTGCTTTTCTTAGTTTTGTTGATTTTTGTGGTATCAGAAATAGACTGCTAATTGTCAGGCTTATCCTGAGGGAGATTTTAGCATAGTAATAATTTGCTTTTAAACCAAAAGGAAATTCGTCTTACTTTTTCTTGCCTGTAGTTTGGAAGGAGAAGTCTGTCCCTACTCTCTGCAGTTTTGGAATTTGATATATGGTTAGGAATCAACAGATCTAGATTCTAGTACAAGTTCTATGACCTTGGTTAGCCCCTATTTCTTCTTCAGGCTTCTGTTTCCTCATCAGAAATGTAGAACACATACTGTTGGTAAAAATACTTACAAGTGGTTTATTGGGGTCTTAAATGTGGTATATTATCCTTTGAAATTTATTAATCAGCTTTCAAATAAGGGCTCAATTCATGGATATAATAAAGGTTTGGAAACAAAATCCTCACTGATTTTATGATGAACATTTTAAAAAGTTGTAACTGAGAAACTGAGGAATAATATAGCTCTGAAGCTCAGAAATCACATCAGTAAATGGAAAGTTCAAAGAATGATAGAAATCTTTATTCTAAAACATTTATTATTTTTTTAAAAAATTTTTAATTAATTTATTTTTTGGTTTCCCTGTAGCCCCAACTGTCCTGGAACTCACTATGAAGACCAGGCTGGCCTTGAAATCACAGAGATCCACCTGCCCCTGCCTCCCGAGTGCTGGGATTAAAGGTGTGTGCCACCATGCCTAGCTATTATTTTTATTTTATGTCGTTAAGTGTATTGCCTGCCCATTGTATGTAAGTGCATATGTGTCGTGCAGTGCCCGTGGAAGTCAGAGAAGGGTGTTGGATTCCCCTAGAACTGGAGTTACAGACAGTTGTTAGTTGCCACGTGAATGCTGGAAATTGGACCCGGGTCCTCTGCAAGAACAGCCAGTTCTTAACTGCTGAGCCATCTCTCCAGCCCCCAGAAGTCTTTATTCTAAAGAAATAAATACATAGTGGTGTATATGCATATCTGCTCATTCATTTAAATAGATGAGGAAACTGATTCTGGCCTCACTAAAGCCCTTTGTACATGCAGACAAAACATTCATACACTTAATAAAATATTGTTTAAACATGTATTTTTTATTTTATGTGTATGAGCATTTGCCTGCATGCATGTGTACTATGTGCATACCTAGTGCCTGCAGAGGCCAGAAGAAAGCATTAGATCCTCTGGAATTGGAGTTAAAGATGGTTGTCACCTATCTGTGGGTACTGGGAACCAAGCCTGAGTCCTCTGCAAGAGCAAGAGCAACAAGTACGCTTAACCACTGAGCCATCTCTCTAGCCTCTTGTGGAAGTGTTTTAAATTACCGGTTTCCTTGTATACAGAAATGATTGGTTTGTTTGTTGTTGCCTCCCCCCTTTTTAAAAAAAAATTTTAAAATTATTTTTATTTTATGTGTGTGTATTGCCTGCATGTAGGTAATATACCCGCAGAGGTCAGAAGAGGCTGTTGTATCCCCTGGGACTGGAGTTACGGACAGTTGTTAGCTGACATGTGGGTGCTAAAGGAAATTTAAAAATATATTTTAGCCGGGCGTGGTGGCACACACCTTTAATCCCAGCACTCAGAAGGCAGAGGCAGGCAGATCCCTGTGAGTTCAAGGCCAGCCTGGTCTACATAGTGAGTTTCAGGACAGCTGGGGCTACAGGGAGACCATGTCTCAAAAAGACCAAAAAAAATTTTTTTTTTTTATTTTATGTGTATGAGTGAGTGTATTGCCTGCATGTATGTAAGGGCGTGAATGCCTGCAGAGGTCAGAAGAAGGCATTGAATTCCCCTGGAACTGGAGTTACAAATGGTTGTTAGCCACCATGTGAGTGCTGGGAATTGAACCCAGGTCCTCTGCAAGAGCAGCCAGTGCTCATAACTGAGCCATCTCTCCAGCCCCCAACCCCCCTTCTTAAAAGTCTCACTATGTAGGCTGGCTGATCTTGAATTCATAGAGATCCTCCCTCCTCTGCCTCTGCCTTTTCAGTGCTAGAATTAAAGGCATGTGCCCCTATATCTGGCTATAAAAACAATATTTTTATTACTATAATTAGACAGCTAACTGCTTTTTAGGCAGTAGGCAGGGTAGGTAAAAGAAAGGAAAAATCCCTGTGGGAAACTTAAGATGGAATGAGAAAAGCTAATTGCTATGATGCTTTTCTTTGCCTTGTAAATTTTTTATTGAATTTTTGTGTATTTCATACATAACATGTTAATCATCTTCCCCATTGGCACCTCCCATAGCCTCCCCTCCCCATGGGAATTCATACATTTTGTCATTTGTGTTAAGGCCTATCGTGTCAAGTTAATGTCCCCAGATATCCGTCAGTGCAAGTTCATCCACTGGGTTCTAGTCAGCCTATCTAGAGTCTCTCCCTTTAAGAAGATCAGCTCTTCCTCACCGAGCAATAATTGGCTGCCAATAATTCTTCAACTAAGATTGGGATCTGATGCCCATTTCTGCAGTTTTGTGCTGGGGTTTTGTCTGCTTGATTTTGCATAGGTCTGCATGCTGACACCATTGCTGTAGGTACATATGAGCGAGGTCCCAGGAGCCTGTAGGATTCTCCTTCCATATGGTCCCTTGCTCTTACAATCTTTCTGCCCCCTCTTCCGCAATGGTTCCTGAGCCCTGAATGGGTGGATTTTAATACAGGAGTCCTGTCCAAGGACTCACTCTCTGTGGACTTTTGTTTTCTACTTTTTGGTCGTTTGTGACCTTTTGTGTTCTTGGCCCTCTGTCACATGAGTTTCATTAATGAGAATTGAAAGATAAAGCTTTTCACATCCAGGAACAAAGAGTAGATCATAACTGTCATTGGATTTATTTGATCTAGTAAGTAGCTTTGAGTATAGCTTGTAAGTGGCACATTTTGTGTGTATGTAGACTACATAAATAAAATGCTAACAGAACATGATGTACATTGGCATTGTACTTGTTAGTGTCAGTATAAATTAAAATGAAAGTCCCTGGGACTGAGAAGATGACTCAAATTGATAAAGTGCTTTACAAGCATGTTATGTAAGCATGAGGACCCAAATTCAGTCCCCAGAACCCACATAAAACACAGGGCATTGCAACGTGTGCTTGTAATTCTAGCAATTGGGAGGCAGAAACTGGTCGTCAGCCAGCCTAGCTTACTTGTTAAGCTCCAGGTCCCGGTGAGAGACTCTGCCTCTCAAAACGAGGTGGCTGGCACCTGAGGCAGCTTGACACCTGAGGTTGTCTTCTGTCTTGCACACGCCCATGCACACATGAATACACTTACCTAATGTACACAATAAAATGAAGTTTAAAAAAAAAAAGATAAATTCCTTGGTGGATGAGTAAGATTTGATAAGTGATTGTCGCAAAAACAGAAGCTCTTAGTCAAAAGTTGTAGATAAAACTACTAAATCTTTTTAAGTGAAGTTAGTGTAACCATTTAAAAAATGTATTTTGGAGTAGGACAAGGTCACTGAGTGAAAAAAGTACAACTGCCTGTTATAAGGGTAAGTTGCTTTGTTTTATTTCACATACTAGTGTTAGGTAGGTAGCCAGTTGAAAGCAAGTAAATTACTTGCTCTGAAATGATTTCTGTGGCAATTTTTAATGATTTATTAAAAGTTAGGTCAGCACTTCTGTGTTTATTGTATTTACATTCTTTTCTCCTATAATAAAGCCATTACTAGATCTTTCTAAAATTAGATTTAAAAATGATTTTACCCATTCCTCGCCGTTATTTCATAATCTTTAATGGGTCCTCTTTTTATTGATAATCCCCATTGGTTACCATGGAGTTTTGTCTTCAATACTGTTCACCTTCTGGTGGCAGCTTCCAGTACTCTGACATGCACTATTAATTTCTTTCATCTACCTTTGCTGCCTAGTCCACCTATTAACAACCTATTCCTTCTTTTGTCCTTTGGCCCTATTCCTTTTGTAAAGAACAGAATTCAACTTAGAGCCTGCCCTGATCTTCTAGGCAGGAGTTTCTGAATTCTTTGATTGTGTTTTCTCTTGTGTTTTCCCTTTTCATTAAATTGGGGGTTGGAGGATAGACAAATATAGCTCCTCTAGTCAGTGAGTTGTCAAGTTCCTTAAAGGTAAAACTTACAGAGCAATACCTGTATGGGTCATTCCTTAGTGCCTCCTGTGAGGATTTGTATTGAATACTGTTTTGTTTTGTTTTTTGTTTTTGTTTTTTGTCTTTAGGTTTACCATTGCTTGTTCAGAGAACAATTGCCAGAACCATTGTGTTACAAGAAAGCATTGGCAAAGGTCGATTTGGAGAAGTTTGGCGAGGAAAGTGGCGGGGAGAAGAAGTTGCTGTGAAGATATTTTCTTCTAGAGAAGAACGTTCGTGGTTCCGTGAGGCAGAGATTTATCAGACTGTGATGTTACGCCATGAAAACATCCTGGGATTTATAGCAGCAGACAATAAAGGTCATTCACATCTCCTTACTTTGTGTGTGCACATATGTGTGCTCAGGTGTGCATGCATTTGGAGGCTGGAGCTTGACTTTGAGTACCTTCCTTAATCACTGGGTGTCTTCTCCAGTCGCTCTCCACCTTATTTTTTGAATAGGGTCTCACTGAACCTGGAGCTCACCAATTTGGCCAGTGTGCTTCAGAGGTCCTCCAACTTGCCCAGTACATACTAGCCATGTACTACCTCACCTGGTTTTTTACAGGGGTGCTGGGGATTTGAATTTAGGGCCTCCTGCTTATGTTGCTTAGCAAGCACATTACCAATTTAGCCAACTCCCCATTTTTCTGTGGACTTTCATAAAGCCTAGCTAAGCCTTGTTTTTACAGCTATGACTACTAAACACTATCAGGTTTGGTAAGAATGAATTTTTGTTACAAAGATAAGACCCATTAGGTCAGATACAATCTTTGGAAATAGGAAGTTCTTAAGATTTTCTTAATTCATGACAATATGTTTTCGTTTTTAACATTTATTTTACATATGTGTGTATAGGCATGCATGCTACAATGTGCATGTGGAGGTCAAAGTACAACTTGGTGGAGTCCTTCCACCACATGGTTTCCAGTGAATAAACTCAGGTTATCAGGCTTGGTAGCAAGTACCTTTACCCACTAAGGCATCTCATTAGCCCATGATAATGTTTTTAAATCTCTTATTCATTTATAAAACTCTTTGTTATTTTAATTCTGGCCACTAGTTGAATATAGTTATAAGATAGAAACACACACATTTATATTT